TTTAATTTCAATTTAAATGGAAGAAAGAAAGTACGTATTTCGCCTTAAAAACCCCATGTTGGCCAATATTATTATATCTACCATTTATTAATAAATTAATTTAATAGAAAATTTAAACATTGCCAGGAAATGAAGAGTGACGAGTGTATATCCGCGAATATCGAAGATAGCTTCAAAATGTCAAAATACTTAAGCAGTAGCAACTTCGGTTTCATCGGAGAGACTCTTTTCAAATGCAGGACAGATTTTGACACAACGACCAAATGAACATGGGAAAAAGATTACCAAAATTGCTGTTCTTGCATAATTTTGATTCGAATATGTTCTGAGACTTTTTCTTCTACTTATTTATATAATTTCAGTCAAGTAGGTATCTAACTAGAGCTGCTTACGAACTAACCATTTTCTGATCAACCAATCGAATGTGTTTAAACTAAATCCCATTCTAAACAGGACATCTCCCCGGCCGTCCAAATGCACTTTAAGCTTTAAGGTTAAATTAGGCAGGATGCCTTAGATTAGCTTGGAAAACCAAACTTACCGGCGATGGTCTCAAATGAGGTTATGGAATTTTCTCGAAAACACAAAGAAAAACCTTTCCACTAAGACTAGGCCACTATGAGCGTTTTAACTTTATTCATTTGAAGGTAAAAGTCCAGGTAACTCGAGAAAATTTGACTTTCTGAAGCCACGAGGGACAAAATTGTAATTTTACGGACCAGTACGACTGTACCGTTGGCCTTCAGAAAAGTGCCCTGCAGAACGACAGGAAGGAATGAATGACATTGAAAATAATCCTGAAAAGTAAGTTACGGTCTACGGAGCTTGGATTTAGCAACATACCAAACCTAAGGGCCTCTTCTATACAACATTAACTAACTTAAAATTATTTACATCTTATTACTAAACCTCAAAGATAACCTTAAGCTGTGACATTGTAAATATTGCCGGTTAATAATCTTACAAAATAATAACAATAATAAAACATAGTTAAGAATTATCAGCTGAAAACAGTATTAAATTTGGCAAGTAGCATAATCAAGGTTACAAACTGAAAGAGGTTGTCTAGTAAAAATAGATTTCAATAGCAACCTGCTGTTCCAAGACATTTTCAAATAAAATGTTCAAATGAATACCAAGTAGCTTCAATCGCTACAATATGTAAAAAAATTACATGTTGTTATACAAATGGAATGCCACAAACAAAAAAATGTGTAAACAGGTGGAAAAGTAACAATTTGTATGAAGGATGAAAGAAAAAACAAATTTTGTAACATTTTTTTCCAATATTCTTAATCTCATTATAATTAACTTTAAATGCAACGTTTAAATTTGTTATTTCATTAGTTTTTAATGAAAATAACATTTTTTTTTTTGTTCAAAATTTCATAGGAAAAGTAGATATACTTCTTCGCTCTTTCTTATTTTTTGTTTTTGAACATACCCGTTTATCAAAATTTTCCTGTCGGAAGCTGCTTCTATCCCATGCCAGTGCATTCTGGAATTTGGTCGACAGCATTTCTAGAGGTCTCGTTGTAGGCATACTGCCTAAAAATTAAATAAAGTAAATCAATCAACTGATGTAAATTGTTCTATTATATTTCCTAGGCTGCTTTTATTTGTTGGCGTACCTAATATATGTATACCCGACGATAGTGCCATTGCAAATATCGTTAATTCGTATTGAAAAATATAGCTTTTATAGCTTTTTGGTGCTACTGAAAGTGATTGAAATGTAGAAATTACGAAGTGGGACCACTCCAAAGTTTTCCTACCTTTAAAGTGTAATTCAGAAGGTATTTCGTCTGTGGAAAAAATTAAAATAATAATACAACAAATTAGATCGACGTCTTTATTCTTTAAGTACAATTAGGAGGGTTGGGGATAGTTATCGCTGTCGCGGTCATTGTAGCTATCGCTGTCGCTGTCACTTTGCTGTTATTTTTTTCAGGAATTCTTTTGTATGGGTGAATTATCATTGGGGGGCATGTCATTCCAGAGGCAGAAAAAGAGAACATAACGGTAAGAGTTTCCTATTGAGATCCTTTATCTACAGCGTAAATGTTTTTTACGCCTGTAGGGAATTTCAACATGAGGAATAAAATTATGGTGTGATCAAAGACGTGATGAATTTTTGTACATATTTATTTAATTTTTTTCAACAGCAGCAACTTTATATCGTATGGGTATTCCCTTTGGATGAAGAGGATTTACCAATTCAGGCAACAAACAGTTGTTGTAAAATGTTTGCAACTTTGGCAACATTTTTCACGCCAAAATGAGTCATCTCGTGCAACCTGCAACAGAAAATAGAAATAATCAATATTGTCCAAATAGAATATAGAACATTTAAAAAAATACCTCTTCTACAAGCATGCCCTGAGGACTCCATATCAAAAAATAGTATAAATCTCTGTTTGTTATGTCTAAGTGGCCCTGGTTTCAGAAACAACTTGTCATTCACTAGCTGGGCAAATTTTATTTTTCCCAAAATGATTCCACTGGTGTGACTTTGTTCTGAAATGGAGTAAGGGCACTTTACCTCCAAGAGCCCCTTTTCGCCACTAGTTCATCGGGACTTGCGCCCATGAAATAATCTTCCCTACTGATATGGAAACCGCTTTGGCTAATTTTTAGATTGAATGACTTTTCGAACTCAGCAATAGCCTTTGTTTCATTTTCGTTGCCATAACGAGTTGCCTTATTTCTAAAAAAGTTTCCATACAGTAGGTTTTTTGCAGCATTTACTGCCGTAGTTGTGGGGCGCATTTTACAAATTTGTTCAAAATTTGACGCCGTTATCCTTAGAGATCTTTCCTGTAACTATTGTGGATTGTATTTTTGGCCAAATGTGTTTCTATCCTTATGATTTCGTCAGTTGTTTTCTTTAGCGTCTTTAAGAAATCTTCTGCTTTTCCTATATACTCTTGACTGTTCAGGTCACATAGTTAGCGTTTGGGCCATAATATTTATCAGGAAGGTGCTTCTTGAAAATGTTCCTTCTTTTCGCCATCAATACTCTCTTTGCTTCAATTCTCGCATTTTATGTCATCCTCTGCTGGTAATACCTTATATGAAAAGTCCTTGGACTGTTTCCAAAAATGTCCATATTAATGACGCGATGGTATTATCCGCCTGAGTTGAAGGAGAACGCTGCAGCTTCACATCTGGTCTGATACGAACCTCTCAGAGAGTAATTCACTTTTGCCACCAATATATTTACAGACAACATTGTTGTAGTGTTCAGCCAAATTATTGTCCATATTCATTATGAGGCTATTAGAATGATCGATTACCCTTTGAAGTGCAGCCATAATGTCTTCGTAAATGCCACATTGCTTCATGACAGGTACCAGATTTTCTCCTGAGCCTTCACATTTGAAGTAATTTATTGTTTCACTATCTTAATATTCCCCAAAAAGATGACTAGGTGCGTTTTTGATGTCACCTCTCAGTAATGCAACTTTTCTTTCTAAAATTGTAGCTTCTTTAATCCGGAATGCCGCGGCTTTGGTTATGGCACTTCTAAGGCGCATGAATGTCGAAAACACCTTTTTTCAGAGTACCATTGGAACTGGTAGATTCTTAGAATTGCTGGTTTTCTTGTCTAGATATAAAAAAAACACATTATTCCTGATTTTTAAAACAAACCAAAAAAATACATACTGCAAATTTATCTAATTTTCTTTGCACCACAGTCATCGCTAGTTTGTGCTTCATTGCAGAATCGGTAGCTTGACCATAGGAAAGAGTAATCTTTTGAAATTAATGGGTCGTGGTCTGAGCGGAAAGCTGTGTAAGTAAATCTAAAATTGGCCTTGTATAACAGCGCCTTTTGGAAGAGGTCTTATCTGCACTAGGTGATCATTGACGAATAGTGGGGCTACTACTTGTGAGCCGTCTCGTAGAGTAATTGTCAAAGGTGATTGTTTGGTGTTCTGGTTAATTCTAGAATACATTCTAAAATAGGGACCATCATCAAGAGAAGGTGAAATTGTTTTGACAATACAATTCGGTATTGCTCCTTGTAGAAATTGGCTATTGTTTTGGATTAGTGACATTTTCGGGTTTGGTATCGGAAGGAAAACGCCGTCTATGTTACCATCCGTCTGGGATTTCAGTCGTGCTGTTGAATAGACTGTAATAAAAAGGAAACCTAAAATCACTTTGTATATCAATAGTGATTGGAGTCGCATTTTGTGTTTCTATTTCAGAAGTAAGATTAAATTGTTTGAAGAAGTCGGTATTTAGAGAATGTGATTTCTGGGGTAGGTGTAGCTGCTGGGAGCTGCGCAATTGGAATATCTTTAAGTTGGGGCATTCTGAAAAGAACGGTTTGTTTGAAATATTAATTTAACTTAATAAATTGTTTTGGCTTAATTTCTAACAGTTTTCTGAAAACAGAAGAATCTCCATCTCCTACCATTTTCGAATATTTGAGACCATATTGGGTGACACTGTTTTTAAAGCCTTCTGCTATAATGTTGGTCTTTATAGACGTAGAAGTACCCGTCCAATTCTAAAAACATCTATGGTCAGGGATTTCCTTTTTTTTATTTTCATACCACGAGCAAAGGGAGCAATATTTATTTCTTACTCCAAGAAATAAAAATTTTCCTGTCTTGAATCCGATAAAATTGAATTATTTGTAAATGTGAATATTTTTTTAATGTTAGCATGCTAGTTGAAAAGAAAATATACAGTGAGGTCAAAAAGATTGGAATACATTTTTAAAAAATCGTGTAGCTATTTTTCAGGCAAACGTCAATTTTTATTTTTAGTTGCACGTTTCTAGGCTAATTTTCAAATTGATGCGCATTTTTTTTTTCTTTTTTTTTTTTTCTTTTTCAGGCTTGAAAATCTGGCCATATGTCGTGAATCACACTTTATTTCTGCGTAAGATGAAGACTTTTCTTGATAAGGACTAAACATAGTGAATTTAACTCAAATCGCTCACTATATAGGTATATAAATATGACGAAAATAAAAGAAGGGCTCACCACTCCAGACATACTATCGTAGTTCACATTATACGATCGTTTCCCCCATGCTTCATCTGTAACAACAGTTATACAAGGTATTCCGTTTTCGTCAATGTCCCCTGAATCTGTCGAAAATTTAGCTTCTTCTGCTGCTGCCTCTCTCATTTTTTGCCAAACTGATGACCTGATATAATTGGCAACTTGCTCATGATACTTATTGAAAGTACTGAGTGTCATTAGTGGCATATTTAGGGTTGAAGCTAGTTCATTTACTTGGGAGTAACCAATGCCAGTAGATATTGATCCCAAAACAAAAGAAGAATTGACATTCACTTTATCCCGAGTTTCATTATCTGATGTCAAAGTTTTAAGGCAGTGACACATTTCGCATTTTAGAATAAATTTACTGGAAAGGCCGTTTTTTTTTTCGCTAACCAACTTGATGTTAATTAGTGATCAGTCAAATGTGACATCATTTGGGGGAGAAACTGGACAAACTGCTGCTGCATGTTGAGCATAAATTGTTGCATGTTGTCTTGCATAGACTTCAACATGGCAGCGAGTGGGTCCAGATTCCCTCCCTTCAGCGCCTGATTGTTCCTGCTGCCCCACTGGAAGGTGCTGCCCGAAGGAATGGACTAAGCTCTGGCCTGAGTGATTTTAGCCTTTATAGCTGTCGGATGTTTTGTGCAACCTGAGAAGGAAGCAGGATGCTCCCCTTCGCAGTTTGCGCAAGTTGGTTTCTTAGCCCGTTCTTTCGGGCATTCCCCCGTCAAGTGACAGTCTGCGCACTTGACGCATTTGGGTGGGGCAGTGCATTTAAGTGAGGAATGTCCAAATAGCTGGCATCTGTGGTACTGGGTGAAACTGGCCCTCGTTTCTTGTGATCCAACTTTAACTGCCAAAAGTTCTACGTTTTTAATATTGAAGATATTTTTCTGAGTTTTTGGCAAAACGAAGACCAGTGCCATCGGGTCGCCACTTTTGTGCGAAAAAACGCCTGATTGACAGGGGACCGAAGCCCTGTCTCACCAGATCATCTTTCACTCTTTCTTCCGTCCAGAGTTTGGGAACTCCACGTATTACTACGTGAAGGTTCTTTTCCTCTGGAAAGGAGAAAGAGTGGTAGGAGATCTTGGTGTCCTGCATGAAAGATGTTAGTTTGTGATAATCGGATGGCTCGGAAGGCTGGATTTTAATGCCTCCCGCGACATTCTTCAAGATTATTGTTTTGATGTTTTGAGCTTTGATATGAGGCGACCTGATCGTATTTGGCCTTGTCCCTAAGAATCATAGGGGGAACACGATGTCTACTGGTAGGAGGGTTGGTGGGGGCTTTTAGGTTTTTTTTTGGAGTCTTGGTGGGATTTCTAGGGGTTTGGGTGAAGGGATTTATGGGGGGTTGGTACCGTGTAGTGGGGTAACTTCGACACCACATTTAATTCTACAGGATGTCGAAGATATGTTTTTCGAGGGCAACTTCGACACCAAAAATAGTAAACAATCATTTTAGAAGCATTGGGCAATGGTTTAAATAGCTACAATTTGGCAAATAAAACACAGAAAAACTTTGGTACTATAAAGCTGTTTAATATAAAAATGAAAACTTAAAATAAAATTGTTCTAATTAAGCCAAAACTCCTTAAATAAAGTAACAAGAGCATTATATAAAACTAGCTCCAACATGAAAACAACGGATTTAGTCCTCGTCGAAACGAATGGGACACTCGTATCTCGCTTGTTTGGATCCCTTGTTGCAGTTTCCACAAACCCACTTTCCTAAGTTGGCACACTTGATCCAAGACTTTGTGTGTGTGTACTCGGAGTACGGAATCAAACAAATGCAACAACAATTGCATGAAGGACATTCATATTGCGGGTCCTTGGAGCCATCACTACAAATACCGCACACCCACTTTAAACAAGAAACGCAACAAATCCACTCATTGCTGTCAGTGTAGGTTGAGTAAGAACATTTGCATATTGAGCAAGAAGAATCGGAGTCAGTGTCGACAATGTCTGTCTTGGACGGTCCAGGTTCATCAGGATCAACAGTCTTGTTTCGGCGAGCTCTGGACGGTCCAGGTTTATCAGGAACAACTGCCTTGTTTCGGCGAGCTCTGGACGGTCCAGGTTTATCAGGAAAGATGATCTTTGATTTTTTTGGTTTGATGGGGAGTCTTGTCTTTGGTTCCTGCGAAGTTGGAGTTGCATCAACAGAAATTTCTGGTAAATCCATTTGTAAGTCTGAACGGGTTGGATTGCTTGTTTCAACTGGTCTTTGCATCTACTGGCCTGGTCTTGCGGCCACTTTTTTTCCCCTCTTGAGAGAAATTGTCGGTTCCTTGGAATATCCTCTAGCCTCCTGTAGAAATTCTAACAAACTGGAATCTAGCACTCTCTCGGAATCCGGCTTTGCGTCTGGAATTTTCGCCAAAACTCTTTCTGGGTTAAAGGGGCTCAGCCCTGTTGCTCTGAAGCAAGATTGAAGATTTGTGGCAGCAGTGTTTTCAATATCAGACCACAATCAATTTAGCAACCTTGGTAAATGTTCTTTTGGGATGCTTCCTTTTCGACGACATTCCTTTCTCCATGAATCCAGAATTTCGTGCCATTTTCGCTTCATGGGGGCAAAAAAACTGACATCGAGAGGTTGCATTAAATGCGTCGAATTTGCTGGTAGGGGCGTCATATAAATATTATTTTCTTCAGCTGCTTCGACAACGCGAGGAGAAAAGTGTGACGCAAGATTGTCTCCAATCACAACTTTTGTTTGTTCAGGGATGCTCTTAGCATTAATGTGAGGAATCAAAACATTAAAAAACCATTGTTCGAATGTGTTCATATCGAACCATCCACTTGGCGTCACCTGATAAATTGTGCCTGCAGGACCTCCCTTACTTCAATTTTCGTACAGGTGTTGTGCCTTATACACGACCATGGGAGGAAGCAAGTCCCCATTAGCTGATTCGCAAACCATGATGCTGATCGATGTCCTCGAGTGCTCTTGAACTCGTTCGACTCTCTTGCTTCCGCTGGGCACCAACACTTTCTTCGAACCAGGGTCATCAGTGATATTCGTCTCATCATAATTGTAAAAATTTTCTAGTGACGCATATTCTAGGATGTCTCTTATGTTCTCAAAAAATTCTTGAAGCTGCTCCTTACCTACGGCAGCTCGTTGACGTTTGATATTGGAAGCTAGTCGAGTAGCCAGGTTGTTCCTCTGAGCAATTTTTTTTATAAAATCCAGACCAGGCTTGTTATTTTTCCATTCCAGAACATTCTTACTTTGCTTTGTCACAAATTTTGTTACAACTTGACGAATATGGCCGTGAGTCATGGGAAAGCCCCAGTCGTTTACGACACCAAGAGTTTTTGCCAACAGCTGTTCTTCTTCGCGAGTCAACACGCATGGACGACCCGGTGCTGCAGGATGAGTTTCGTAGATTTTATCTATTAACGTTGTTCGCGGCACCTTGAAGTTCCGGCTAGCTTCTAGTTTGGACATGCCCTTTTTCACAGCATCAATAGCCTTATCCATGTTCTCTTTTCTGTAGTTGAGGTAAGGTCTACCACCCACCTTTTTGACGTTAGTGCGCGGCATCTTCAATAAAACTTAACGGATCTGAAACAAAGAGAGAGAAAAACTAAAAAACCCATTGAAAAAAAAAAAAAAAAAATTGTAATAAATTTTTTTATTTATAACGAAAACAATAACAGTACATTGGATAACCTGAAAAATATCAAGAAACCTGAAAAAAAAATCATTAAATTATACGTGTCGAAGTTACCCCCGCTGTCGAAGTAACCCCGTTTTACGTTATTTTTTCAGTATAATAGCGTCCCAGTAATTTAGGCATTACCACGTTGCTATGGAATAGGGATGCCTTTTGCATATTCTCTTCCCAAAAGTCGAAATCTGGTGAAATTATTTCAATAAAATGAAATGATTGACACCAAACAACGAAGTTGCAAGACTGCACATTGCAAATAACAATCTGTGCTTGTACTTAATAACAATAGGCATGGGACTTATCCAGAACCGTTTTTATCAAGCACCAAACAAGTGTTTTTCTTCTCTGGAAAGACCTGGAAACTTGTACCCGAATGGAGTATGTATGGGCATTTCACTTCTAGAACTCCCCCTAAGCAGCACTCACAGAATACTATTCGGTCAGGTGTTGCTGCAAGCCAAGCCTGTTGTGTGTCAACCAATAATCCAACTTCATTTACTATGAAATCCTCATTGTTTCCAATAATATTTTCTTTATATTTTTTTACAGCAATGTTTTTTGCCCCAATCCGTCTCCTTCGCCTTGAAGTTGGTTTTCAGTGGGTAGCAAATTCACACAGGCAGGACAGGCTTTTTTGAAAATTGAAGCAGTGATACGACCTTTTCTTTTCTTGAACCATTCTTCATTCTGTCTCTGACCACGTGTAGACTATTCAATTTTGTTTCTCAACTCAGTAGTGATATCAATATCTAACTCTTTCCATTGACATTATTATCCTCCTCAAATGAAAGAGAAGCAACACAAAATAACCCCTTATTTTTTCCCAAAAATAATATATTTAAAAGTAATTGGAAGTAATATTTTTTGGTAATTACATTGTTCTTCACATAATTTTCAACGGTCTCTATTTACTAGGACATTTAACTTCCACTGCATATTCAAAGCTTACTCCACCTGGAGAAGCCCCAAATATGAGGTAATCCTTGTTCAATATTAACATCCCACTACTTTTAATTTTTATGTTTTTTCAATTTTTCGACATATTTAATGACCTCCAACTGTTTTTCCCGTAAAATTGGTTTAGTTTCAACCGGTTTTTAAGCTCCCATTATTTTTCCTAGTAAACTTCCCCCAGTTGTTTTACACCTAGCAGATTCGTATAATATAGAGGCAGTTTATCCTATCAAACCTCATTTTATACCAGTCTCCAGATTGAGACTGCATTAGTGACAATTTTAAAATCCGTTATAATTTCAAAAAAACTTCTCAAAAACTTTGGGAAAATGTCAACATCAAAACTAGTGACCGACCTTTTATAATTTAAGATTAAATATAATATATCATAATTATTCAAAGAAGACTCGAAATACAAATCAAACATTCCACCTGCTTGTGGTCCAACGGCATTTAAGAAGGTATCCACTAGATTTTCATTTTTGGGGCCCAGCTATTTTTTTAAAAGTTTTGTAGGTATCTTGCCGTCCAACTTTTGATAGATTGGAGCCTTTCCAGTAACAATCTTTAGATGTAGAACTGGGTTTTATACTCCATCTATAGAGACAAAACAGAAATACTACAGCATGCTTGCAACCACCTGTAAGTAAATCTTACATGAGAAAAATATAAATTTATTCTTACTTGCTTACT